TGCACAGGCTGCTTCCTCCTGCCAGGTTTCCCAAAGCGTGCAGCAGGAAATGAGTTGGGGTGGCTCACCAATGTGCCCTTAAAAAACCCTGCATCATGGACTGGGGCAGCTACCCCTTCTAGGTCTCTTTTAATTAGGGTGACTTCCTGCCAATATGCCTGGGGTCACCGGGTTTGTGCCTGCTGCCATGACATAATTAATAGGACCCCTTCCCCTGCTTTAAAAACCTCAAAAATGTCCCAGTTTAGATGATAAATTATATGGTTGCCTTACTCTTAATCCTTGCAAATGCATGCAAGATAAAGTCTCCGTGTAGTCTGAGACTTTCACACACCGCCGGCATGTGCTCATTTCTCTAACAAATCGACAAGAAGGACGAACGTCTAGCTAGAATTTGCTAACATCGCTTTGTTTTCACTGGGGCTGTTTCTTCTGTTATCTTTTGCTTCAGATAAGTGATACTCTTTTTCCAGGTAAGATGGGAAATTTCTTCCTAACGTATTAAATTTTAGAAGTGATTCAATGTAAAGAAAAATTCCATGGGTAGTGAATTCCTATTCACTCCTCAAAACCCAACTCAGAATCACCTTCTTTAGACTGCCTTCCCACCCCTCTGTGGTTGAACCCCGCACTCTTCCTCCTCCCTTGACATCTGGCCCAGGTACATCAAACCTATGGCACTAAATTATGACAACACGCAGCTATTTATTAGGGATTTACCATGTGCCAGGCACTGTACTAAGCACTGACCTATATTCTCTTGTTTCATCTTTATCATCACTCTGTGAATAGCCCAACTATCCCGACTTTACAGGTAATGAAATGGCAGGTGAGGGGCGCCTGGGTGGTGCAGTCGGTTAAGCGTCCGACTTCAGCCAGGTCACGATCTCGCGGTCCGTGAGTTCGAGCCCCGCGTCAGGCTCTGGGCTGATGGCTCGGAGCCTGGAGCCTGTTTCCGATTCTGTGTCTCCCTCTCTCTCTGCCCCTCCCCCGTTCATGCTCTGTCTCTCTCTGTCCCAAAAATAAATAAACGTTGAAAAAAAAAATTTTTGGAAAAAAAAAAGAAATGGCAGGTGAAGAAACCTGCCCACGGTCGCAGAGCTTAGTCAGTGGTGGGGCTGGGAATTGAATCCAGGGCCAGGAAACTTCAGCCTGTGGCTTTGACCACCACTGTATACCTAGTGGTCGCTCTCCCCGATCAGAGGGCAGGAGGTACATCTGGTGCACCTGGGATCTCATTCACCCAGAGCCAACCCAAGGCCCGGCACAAACTCCGCTCCAATAAAGACACAGAGATGTGTGTGATGGGTGGGTGGGGACTCAGTCCCTGCTGAGATATCTGGGGGAAACTGGGTCCCACTCCCCATCCTGTGACAGAGCACACAGAGCTCCAGAAGCACAGATCTCGGCCGGAAGGACCTTCTAGGAAATGTACTGAATGTGTGAGGTGCCCCCTCCTCCCACCATGAGAGAGGCCTGGCCTCCCCGGTGTCTGAGCACCAAACAGGCAGGTAAGGCTGCACTTCCCACCAGCGGACCAGGCTGGCCAAAAGAGGACAGCAGGGCCTGAGCACCGGGAGGAGAAAGACCAATCTAGGACTAGGTTGGGCAGGTCCAAGGAGCTTCCTAGAGGAAACGGGTTGAGCAGCCCTGGGAAAAATGGGAAGTTGTGGAAAACCAAGGCCAAAGGGCATTCCAGGTGAGGGAAAGGCCCAAGCAAAAGCAGGGAGTCCAGAAAGCAGGGGCTCAGGGGCCAGTGAGAAGCCCTGGTCAAGGGTAGGACGGAACTAGAGGGAAGGCTGAATAGCAGGTGGCAGCTGGGTCTGGGGTGGGGCTGGAATGCCAGGCTGAAGAGTCTGTGCCACGATGGAGAGTATGGGGGCTGGATCTGGGAAGTGATGCACAGATTACTGGAGGCCCCGAGGCCCCCGTGGGGCAGCCCATCGTCCAAGTCACCCAGCAGCAGTGGCAGAGTGGGGATTTGAACTCTGGCCTCCGGAATGGGGCCTGGGTGATGGGGAGGTGGGTTAGCAGCAGCCAGCCAGCCAAGGATGGGACAGCACCTCTGAGGAAGGCAGGGAGTGCGGGAGAGGAGAGAGGAGGTTCCCCCAGGTGTCAGTCTGCACAGCCATCCCCACTGGCCAGTGTCTCGTCAGGACCGGGGAGGGGTCAGCAGGCAGGAAACGCAGGGTGGCAGCACCACGTCTTCACCGCGATTCCTGCTCCCTGCCCCCCACCCCGGCCTCAGCCAGCATCCGCTGGGCTCCTTCCTGCCTGCCTTCCCTTTCTTCCTCTCTCCCCACTTAACAGATTGCGGCAGCAAGATGGCACAAATTTATGGCTCAACTCACCAAAAATAACAAGAGATCTATCAAAGGCAGTTTGCGTGAAATTAACAGGCGCCTGTACCCTCTTGTCAAACGCACTGGGCTCTGAGGCGGGCCCAGGCACTCCACCCAGGCACTGTCCCCCAGTGCCACTCTTCCAGCATGGACCCAGTCCCACTCCACCTGGCCTTGCCTTCGACTGATTCTATGCAGAGTGTCCCAGAGAAGGGGAACACAGCTCCCCTGCCACAGGGCCTGGCAGAGGGGCTAGGACGAGGGTCTTACTCTTCCTGTTCACCGCCTTGCCCACCAATCTCGTTCTCAATCTGGCAGTTCCACATGTGAGCCGGTCCTCCCACAGCTGGTACACGTGTCCAGCTGGCCCAGTGGGGAGGAGGGGGTCCTGCCAACCAGACACAAAGGGCCCTGAGTCCTGACAGTGCCCTGTCCCTCAGATGCCCACTGCCACATGGAACAAATCGAGACATACGCCCACTGTCTCTTGCCCCTAAGAGACTGGGCAGAAGGAAGGAGATGGCAGAGAGGAAAAGTAAAAGCCTCTTGCCTGCCAGGGGAGAGGAAGGGGCTCTGGGCACCAGTGTGCTGGACAAGATCACTTAGGAGGACCAATGCCACATCACCCCCTGTAACTCCCCACGAGGGCCCTCCCTGCAGGCAACCCCATGGAGCAGCCTGAAAACATGCCAAGCAGGACAAGGAGCATGAGCAGAGGTCAGGTGTGGAACAGCTGGGAGCCTGGGACTCCCAGCTCAGAGATAATACTAGGCCTCATGCCCAGGGACAGTCAGCACCCAATCTCCACCCATGCTCAGTCCCAGAGGCCCCCAGCAGAGGCTGTGATGATGGGGACAATGGTGGCCTTCCCATCACCAGCCCTCTCTGACCCCCAAAGTCACTCCGACTACCAACCAACTCCTGTTTCCGGCTTCACCAAGCCCAGCTGGCTGCTCCTGGCTCTGTGCTCCACATGGCAGCCTGCCCAGATGGTGCCCGCCCATGAGGGCAGAGCCTTGCTCCGTCCACTGGAGACCACTGGGCCAATGGACCGCAGGGAAAGCCAGACAAAAGAGCCTGCCCTCTGCTGAGCGCGATGGGGGAGGCCCCCACAGAGTGACGGGCAGTGGCCGCCAGGCAGGAAGAGTCATAAACCTCCTGATATACGCCTGGCACTCTCCGCCAATGTTCGACAAAGAAGCGAAATTCAATTTCTTCCTGCAGGCACTAAATCCCAGGCCAGCCTCCAGGGCCTGTAACCTGCCCACGGCCTGGCTGTCACTCGGACGGCTTCATCGACCGATGTTAGAGGCCAAGCTGGCCAGGGGGAGAGGCCAGAGCAAGGCCACTGGGCACTTGCCACGGATAGGCATGGTGCCAGATGTCTCACAGGGGAGGTTGAGAAGTGCCTCCCCACTGCATTGGGAGAGGCCACTGTCATGATAACTGGCCCTCTAATTAACTCAGAGACAGCTCCCCATTTTACAGATGAAGAAACTGACGCCAAAAAGATGGGATCCACTCAAGGTGATAATAGTCAAAGGCAGTGCTCAACTCCCGGGCACTGGCCTTCAAAGCAGGGGTGGGGACGGATCATACTCCTCCAATACTCCTAGCAGCCCTCACACAAGACCCCCTGTGTCCCTGTAAATCCTCTCAGGCCGATCTCCATGGCTCTTCTGACTTCCATCCCTGCGTGACATCCTCATGATGGGAGGCCAGCACCTGTTATCCCAAATGGGGAAACTGAGGCCAGGAGAGGGAAGGGAACTCCCTTTTAGTCCCAGAGCTGGGGACCAGATCCCAGCTCTGCCTCCCTCCCACCCCCACCCCCTGGCCAGTCACTGGCCCGGCACTGTTTGGCGGGCACACAGGATCCAGGTGAGGGCCTGGGGGCTTTGTAGCTGCAGGAAGGAGGGTCGGCAGAAAGTGGCTGTGGTGAGGGAGCCGGGGTGGGAGCGGGAGCAGGCAGGGCTCAAGGGCTCGCAGAGCTTTTGCCCAGTCAGCAGGAAGCTCTAGCAGCTGTGGCAGCCTCGGTCCCAGAAGACATGGGCCCAGAGGGGGAGACAGGGGATGCTGGGAGCGGAGCCAGCCCAGCCCTCCAGGGCAGCCTCGAAGCCCAGTCCTCTTCACCCAGGCACATTCTTCTGCACCTCCCTCTGCCCTGACCCTGGGGCCACTGCCAAAAAGCACCGACCCGTGTGGGCAGGAACATGTCCCTGCTCCCTGCCTACTCTCCAGCCTCCAGGCAAACTTGTCGACTTGGCACGCACTGCTCCCTCTGCCCGGAGCGCCCTCACCATTTCTTTGGCTTGGCTGGCTTCCACGTGTCCTTCAGATCTCTGCTTGCGCCTGTATCACTTCCTTCAGGAAGCCTTCCTTGATTGCCTAGTGGGAGGGTCCTCTCCCTGGGTTCACCACACTGCATTGTCTCATCTCTGCCCCCCATTCACCTACCCAGACTACAAACAAGAGTTTGGGGTTAGTGGGGTCTAACCCCAATCCATTTCGGGGACCCCAGCACCCGGAGAAGGCTGGACACAGAGGGGACAGGGGCGAAGAACTACGCAAATGGCCTGAGGATCTGCCAAGACGGGGACCAGAGCGTACCCTCAGCCCTGGGCACGCCCACCCCACCGGGGCCCTGCTCTGACTCACCATATCTCATCTCGGTTGTGAACAGGTCATTGCTGCTCCCTGAATGCAAATCGGCCTCAGCAGGTGGGGCCGGGCCCCCAGGCACCAGGGCATTGGACAGGGTGTGGGCAGCAGGCGGGCCCGGAGGCGCGGTGGTGGCCGAACCAGCCCCCGCCTCCCCGGGGCAGCTGCAGCCTGGCTGGGCGAAGCCACAGGCCCTGCCAGCAGTGCGGCCGCACTCCTCACTCCAGCGGCACAGCACGCCACAGGTGAACTGGCTGGAGTTGTTGTTGTTGATGAGCAAGACCTCGACGAAGCGGAAGGCCAGGGCAGCGGGCGCCAGCAGGCGCGGGGCCTCCGAGGGCTCTGCCGACAGGCACAGCTGCACGAAGTTCTTGTCGAAGTGCAGGAAGGTAAAGGGGCCCGAGCCGCCACACAGTTCCAGCCCCGCTGCCTCCTCCTCCTCTTCTGGCCGCCCCGCCTCTGCCTCCGCCTGGGCCACGGCTTCCTCTCGGCTAGGCCGCAGGCAGGTAAAGTTGACCAGGTAGTGGTCCAGGGGCAGCAGACGGGGGGCAAAGTGGGCGCACACCTGCTCCTGGCGGTTGAAGCGCAGGTAGAGGGAGTACTTGGTGGGGTCAGGGTTCTCCAGGGTCCAGGAGCAGCCTGAGGCGATGGTAGGAAAGAGGTCCTGCAGTGAGAAGGCCCCGTAGAGCACGCCCGAGGCCAGGGCGGAGCAGGCGCTGGGGGCAGGGTCGAAGGCGGCGGCCAGGCGCAGGGACAGAATCACAGATAGTAAGAGGGGACAGGCTGGGGTCATCCTATGTCCCTTGCCCTGTGGAGAGAGACAGTGGTCAGCAGCCCCAGGAGCTGCCAGCGTGGGCTCTGAGTCTCCTGTGGAGAGGGCCTGGCGGCTAAGGCTCTGGAGTCGCCCAAGTCCACCTGTGTGATCTTAGACAAGGGACGTGACTTCTCGGAGCCTCAGTCGCCTTACCTGTAAAATGAAGGCACGTGGGAGAGTGTCTGGAAGTCTGTAAGCCCTTAAGAAACATCAGTTGTTGCCTCTGTTATCCTATGATTCCTCAGTCAATCTCATCGGCCACCGGCATCTTGGCCTGACACTTGGATCCCGCCTCATCCCCACCACCCAACTTAAATTCTCCAGAACTGTTGCTCTCAGTCGCAGCGTATCGTGGTCAGTTGTGAGCCATGTCACGCATAATCCAGCGGTAATTGTCAAAGGAGCAGTGTTTGACAACGATTTGCTTTTTTATAAATCAGAGCAATTCAAGGTTATTCCCAGAACAATGTCGTTCTCACTCACTTGCTTTGCTGAGTGGGAGAGAAAGGGGAGGAGTTACCACTGGGGTGCCAGGGACTGCGCACAACCCAAGCCATGCCCATGGAGGGCATCACAAGTATGAGCGTCATGAGTATCACTGCTGTGGACTTCCTGGTGGAAACAAGGGGAGAGGTATCTGCAAAATGGGTGCAGTATTCCCCTTAACCCCTTTTCCCTTCCTGCCATGGGTTATCCTCCAAGGCCTGGCTCAGGGTCTGCTACCTGGCCCCCCCCCCACCCCACCTCCGGAGGCCACCAAGCCATCGCCCAGCTCTCAGCTCCCACAGCCCTTTCCTGAAAGCCCATGCCCCCCAATCATCACCTCTATTCCCTGCTGTCTCCCCAGGGCTATCTCACTCATCTCAGGAGTGGAGACCAGAGTTCACTGATTTCTCCCTCCCCGCAAAGCGCTACATACACTAAACCAAACTCCCAGAAGGCTGCAAAATTCAGCAGGTATGAATGTACTCTCCATGCGTGGGCAGGCAACCAGGACCCAGGCCATGCCCCGACAGACACTCAGGACGGTCAGGGCCGAGTGGACAGAAGCTGGCGGGCAGGGCACCTGCAGGTGCCTTCCCACCCACCAAGCCAGGACACAGCCACTGCCCACAGCCTGTCCACACTGCCCACAGCCTGTCCACAGCGCTGTCCGGAAACCAGAGCCTGGCACCTGGGCTGGCTCAACCCTGCTCCCGGCCCTGCCCCCTAAGTGATCCATGCTGCCTCCCTCCTCCATGCCGGCAGCATAGCTCACAGCACTGGATGGGCCCCTAGAGCCTGGTTGCTCCACATTAAAGGACAAAGGATGAGGCTCCAAGAAGGGAGGCAACCTGCTCAAGATCACACAGAGTGGTCCAGCTGGGACTGGAGCCCGGGACCTGAGGCCCCAGCCTGGGGTTCCCTCTCATCCACCAATAGCCTCTTGCTCTGTCCCCTTCCTTGCTCAGGCTGCACGCCCAATGGAGAAGCCATTGGCTCTGGGAACTGAATCACAAACATAGGATAACTCACAGGTGTGGCTAGGTTTTCCCAAGACGTAGCTGCTCCCCAGGCACAGATTTCCCCTTAGCTTTTTAGGAGCCTCAATAGTGGTTGGAGGTGGGGGTGGTGAGAGAGCAGGAATTAGAACCCCAGAATTCCAGCCTCTGTGCAGCAACCATGGAACTCCTCACTCCCCCAGATCCCGCACTTGCCCCTCCCCAGCCATAGGGGGAAGGAGGGGTGGGGGCTCAAGCTCCAGGCAGGCTCATTTATTGGGGAGGAGCGGCCCCACCCTCCCCCAAAGACCCGCCTGGAGTTATCCAACAAAAGTCAGGACAGGCTGTGTCTCCACTGCTCCTGCCAGAACTGCAAAAGGGACACAAGACCCCTGGCCTCCCCCGCCCCCACATCATGCCTGTCCTAAACTGTTCAGCCAGCCCAGCCTGCTGCGGCACCAGCGAAGCCAGTGGCTGATGATGACTGACATCCAATCCCCCCGCTGCCCCCAATTATTTTTAAGCAGGCTGCAAAATTCAGGCCATAGCTGTAGCTCAGCAGAGGGGAGGTGGGGGCTCATTATAACTGGCCTCGCCTCCCCCACTTAGAGCAAGGTGAGGAACACACACACACACACACACACACACACACACACACAGGCTTGAACATTGCTGTGCCATGCGACGTGCACACAAAAGCATGTATGCACAGATGCATGTATAGACAGGTGTTCACAGGCATTCAGCATGCACACAGATCAGTGAAGCCACAGATGAGTGAATTCACGTGCACACTAGGGTACAGGCACTCACGTGTACAAGGTATAAAAGAGCCAGACACTCGTACACATGGAGAGAGATGGAAATATACTCTCTAGTGTGAATATACACAGGCATTTGGTTCTTTGAGGCTTAGCATATGACAGCTAAGTGGCAGGTGGGGTCTGACTTGCTGTTCCCTCCTTTGTGTATTCCTGAAGCTGGGGGCTCAGACCACCCCCCCCAACCCCACCTCCTGGGCCTCAGCTCCTCCCTCCTCCATAGCACCAATCCATCAAGAAGCACTAGGTCCACATCCTCAGAGCCACAGCCTGGCTTCTCCAGAATTGAGCCGCCTCTAAACCCTGACCAAGCCCCCTCCTCCAGACAGCCCCTTCACACCAACTTGGGAATTTCACCCTGGGTATGTATTACCCTCGTGGTTCCTGCTATGACATAAGACCTTTGGGGGCCCTTTTTAAATCTCACTCCACATCCACAAAATAAGGCAAAAAGCCCAATTCCAAGTCAGAGAAACCCTCTCGTGGGAGGGGACCTGGAAGGATCCTTGCCTCCCAGGCAGCCGAAGCGGTTATTAGCCATGTTCAACCTCCCTGAACGGAGGCAAGTTCCCCACTCTGTGGAATGGAGACCATGATCCCTGCCCCCAGGATTACACACACTTTCTTGTTCAGCGTCCCAGTGAGTTCCCAGCACAGAGCCTGGCACAGACAGGGTATGCACACCTTCCCTTCCCCCCTCCCACGGAACCTCACAAACTCTCCCGGCTTTCCTGCTGAGCTCCACCGCTATCTCTGGGAAGGCCCTTTGGGTTGAGCCATGTGAATGGCTTGGCCACCTCCAAACCCAAACAGCAAGATCACATACACGCACAAGAGCTAGAGACGATAGGTATGGAGCTCAGCTCTGAGGAAGAACTTCCCGCGTCAGGAGGTTAATGGAGAGGATAATCTAAAAGCCTCCTCCCTCAGGACCTCACTGGGCTGAGATGGGTGAGTTGCCCATTGGCATAATCTCAGTCTTAGGGACCCCCTCCTCCAGCTACCTCCACCGCATGCCTGCCGCCCGCCAGCAAACTTGAGAATGCCACCCACCCTGTGTCCTAGCACACTGAGGCCCCCTTCCTCCCAGACCCCGCAGGCCTGCTCAGCCTCGGGCTTCCCTTCTGCACTAATGAGGGAATAGGAGGCTTTCGCAGCAGCTGTAAGGGAAAAGACTGGGGCTGAGGGGGAGGGGGGCGGGGGGCACCTCAGGGCAAGGCCTGGGTCTCGGGGATCCCGGGGATCGACCCCCTTGCGCCCTGCCGGCTGGGAGCAGCGCGGCGCTGGGTGACCGGGCGCTCGGAGCCCAGGGCCGCGGTCGGGGGAGGGGCGGCGGGTGGGGGAGGGGGCGCAGCAGTGCGCACGTCGGTCGCGTTTATCCACCTGGCAGCTCCAATTCGCCCGCCCGTCACTCACCCTCCGCCTCCCGGGCGCTCGCTGCCGGGCCGAGCCCAGGCCGACACGCGGGCGGGGACCCCCCACTCGGGGCCTTCGGGTCCCCTGCCCCTGCACTGGCCGGCTGGCAGGGTCCCCAAGGACCCCTCTCCCGGAGCTCTGGTACCCAGGAGGGCGCACATTTCCATCCAGCCTCTGGAGCTGGCGGGCAGGACCGAGGGGAGGGGGGTTCCCCCCCCCCACCCCAGTGCGGCCCCGCCTTCTCCACCTGGCGGAGCCAGCCACTCCTCCTCTTTCTCAAGGGCCTTTCGGTCTGGGGAGGGGGCCTTCGGCCCACCAAGAGAAGGGAGACCGGGGTGGGGGGTGGGGGCGGTGCCTCGAGGGCGGCGGGGGAGGGGGCGGTGACTCAGCCGCCCTCCGCCCGCCTCCCCGGAACTTTGCAGCAGCTGGAGCCGCCGTTGCTACAGGAACCGAAAGCTTTTGTTCCCCAATGTCAGGGCTACCCGGGCAGACTGGAGGCTGAGAGGCTGCCACTCCCCGGTGGGACCCAGGCCCAGCCACACTGCCCAGAGGACTTCCGGCCCACAGAACGCCGTGGATTCAAGCCCTCTCTCTTCTCTCCCTCTTATCTGCCCTTCACCAAGCCACACACGCCAAAGCCAGGTTTCTTCAAACTCTTGGGCCCTGAGCCTGGGTCGCCCCCTAACTCTAATCTGAAGCACTAACTGTCCTGGAAAGTTCCCGATGGCGTCTGACCTCCTGGGGAGAGGTAAGAGGCTCCTCTGTGCACCATGTTCTCCTCTGTGGCTGATTTCCCACGTGCCCTCCCCCCCCATTAGGCAAGCCTGCCTTTGGGGACCTTGACCTGGGTTTCTTCCCTGCATTTTTCCTACCTCCCCAGTCTCCACACTGGAGCCAGGACCTCAGAGACCTTGGCCTGGCTTTTACTGATGCCCCTCTGGCCAGAGCTGATCCCAGAGCAGTCCAGTGGGATGGTGAAAGATGGGTGAGGGAGGGAAGAGACTGATAGTCACAGGCTCCCTGGACCCACTCTGGGGAGCTAAAGGTGTTTTCTGGCTTTATTATCCTGGGGGATAGAGTGAAGTCACTAGAACCTGTTCTGCACTTCTCCTCTGGGAATAGTAGAGTGGCAAGGGGCCTGACCTTGGCCTTGAAGACGAACGCCCAATAAGCCAATCATTGTTGAGCACCACTAGATGCCAGACACTCTATACAATCTAATTTCATTCTCCCAGAAACTATATGAGGCATTTATCACTGACCCATTTTA